CATTGAATTGTTGACTATCTAAATGATGATAACAATAGGCTTCAACCAAACCTTTCTTGGCAGAAAATTAGATTGGATCCTGGCTGGTACTAATTGAGTGTCCTTGGACCACTCTCGGTAACACACAGATCAGAAATAATTCGGTCCTGTGTTTTCTGTCACCTTCTTGAATCATGGAATGTGGGAAATAGTTAATCCAAACTTCTGGAACCTTTATGGATCCAGTAAGTTAAGGCATCTGAATTGACTGACCAATAAAAGTGTCAACAATCTTGACCTGTAAAACCCAGTATTAGCTAGGGTGGTGCTGGTGGCAATCGCAGGCCATTACTGGCGGAATATTTGAGATGTTGCAGATAGCAGGACTAGCAGGAGTAGAAAGAGGATTAGTGAACCTGAAATACCTTGGCTGCACTGTAAAAGTTTATCTCTAATTCTGAAAAGAATCTTCATTTTGCTATTGGATACTTTGTTTTTATGTGTATATGTTTTAAAATAATTTTAATCATAATGTTCTTGATTAAAATCATGTTCTTAATTTTAATCATGTGTTCTTTACCTATAAATAGTCCTTATGACATAATTTTTGTGTACAGTGTTCAATTGGAAAAACTTACAGCATATCCTATCACCCTTTCTAAATTGAGGTAGGGAATCACTTTTTTGCTTACATCATTTCCAATTATCTACACTTCTCACAATGACTAATAAAGTGTTAGTCATTATTGCCAAAACAAGATTTAATGTCAGCTAGGTAAGGTGGATTATAATATTAAAAACTTTCCTGGAGCAATAGCATGGAGGGTAGGGCTTTTGCCTTGCATGCAGCCAAACTGGGTTCGATTCCCAGCATCCCATATGGTCCCCTGAGCACCGCCAGGGGTAATTCCTGAGTGCAGAGCCTGGAGTAACTCCTGTGCATCGCTGGGTGTGACCCAAAAAGAAAAGAAAAAACAAAAAAAAACAAAAAAACCCCCCAAAACAACTTTCCATGCAGGATGTTTGTTCAAGAGCATGTTTCCCAAAGCACCATAGCTAAAGTGTGTAAGGCAGTCAGAAGAGGCAGCCATGCTATGATTAATAAATAAATAAATAAATAAATAAATAAGTTAAGTAACCTCTAGCCTATGGCCTAGGGTGGCCTATGTAATTCCTGGCATGCAGAGCCAGAATAATATTCAACATCACAGCCTTGAGTCTTTTTACAGTGCTACTGCCAGGTTGGCTAAAAATTAACAGTGGGGCCCCTCTATCTCCTGAGCACCATTTCAGAATCCCCCTCATCTGCAATGAAACTATCAATCAATTAAGCGATTAACATGATTAGTTCTTGCTCTGGATTTGGGAATAAGTACAGCTGTCTCCAGTTTGGAGATTCATTATTCTGAGATAATCCCATATATGGCTCTACATATGCCACTTCAATGTAAGGTTTTCTTTCTTTTTCAGAAAGACCTTGAGAAAAATGGAATAACTGCCTCAGCCCAGGTATGGCATTTTGTTCCTATTTGTTTGCCAAGAATTAGTGAAATGATGTGAATAGTTCCAAAGGCCTGGGAAGTACGTCTCCCACTTTTCTGGGTAGGAAGGAAACTAACAGATAATCTTGAGGTCACCACTAATTTGTCTCCAAATGAGATAATTTTAAGTGACACAGAGATAAACTTGAACATCTTCTGCTTCTTTTCATATATATGTGAATTATGTAAGCAGTATTTCAAGGATTTGTGATAGGAGTTTTATGTTATGTAAATTTGTTAAGTTTTAATCACAGAAATTATACTATTATCATAACAATGGTGAGAGTTGCAAACCAATGTTGAATGCTGGAGTAAATATAACCCTAAAATGACCACTCTACACTCATATTGTTTGTATAACCTCAGAAAATTAGGAATATGGGGTGGGGCTAAAGAATTTGCCTTTTATCAAGTACTCCATGAGGTTCAGCAACAGATAATATAAATTTACATTCTGGGAGAGACTGTTTTAGAGGATTATTACTCTTCCACTCTTAAAACTGGAGAACCTGGGACGGAGTTTGGAACTAATGGTGAATATTCAATTCCTACCCCCCTCCCCATACCTCATCCAGATATACACCTCTCCCTTTTTTTCTTCTGTTCTTTTTTTTTTCCTACTCTTACTACTACATTGGGATACCACTAGCAACAAAAAGATAAGATTTGGTAATGAAACATAAGATCTATCAGTCTTTTTGCATAGTTTTCCATGTTTCTTATTTGGACTGGCTATTGAGCTCCTCTTAAATAAAAAATAAATTGATATCGACAGAGATTGTGCTATTTTTATAGCCCTTCAGTTGGCTAAAGTTCTTTATTTTTCTTCATTCACTCTTTTCAAAAAATTATTTTATTTGGGGATTTTGTTTGGGAGCCTTACTTGGTAGTGCTCAGGACTTTCTTTTGGGTCTGTTTACAGGGGATACTACTGGCAAGTACTACAGGCCCACATGTAGGGCTCAGGATTGACATACAGTGGGCTGTGTGCAAGGCAAGTGCCTTAACTAATCCAGTCTTGTCTAGTCTTCATTCACACAGAGCTCAGTTTAATTTTTTCCCCCTTTCTCAAACTTGCCAAGAAATCTCTCCCAAGTAGAGTGACTTTGGTGTTCTGATTATCCAAATTATTATTATTTTGTGTATGATTATTAATAGAAGACTTATTGTCAAAATATGCCCAGTTTGGATGAAAATTATTCTAATTCTATTCAAAAGAGCGTACATGTTTTATTTTATGACCTAAGTGACTGATTTGGTCCTAGAGATTCTTCATTACGCTGCTAGGGGCTAAAGTTTCCTGGTGTAGCTAAAACATTCTGTATTAGTATTTTATAGACATTTGAGTGGGGTTGATATTAGGTTTTCTATTGGATAGAGAGAAATGTAGGAGAACAAATAGAAGAGTAAGAGGGAATAAACAAAGCAACTGCATAGGAGAATGAAGGATAAACCAATATATATTTTGAAGAACCCAAAGGAATTCATTATATAGCCATGAACTGTAAAATACCCTATCCTAACATGAAGCTAGCATGTAAAAATGAAGATGAATCATGTTATGTAGCTTGTATTATTAACTGCATTCATGGCATTTATTCCCCACCCAGAGTGATTGTTATGATTTTTTAAAAACAATCTTAACAAGATAGTTATAATGTTTTACATTTCAGATCTATGATGGAATTCAAACTGGTACTACATAACTATTTAGAATTAAAGTTGTAGGAGAGAAACTATATATTTGTAATAAAATTTGTAGGTAGCACATTTACTTTTTCCAGAATCCTAGCATCTGATAGCACATATAATACCTTACCACTTAGTTACTTCAGTTCTGAAAGAAAGTAAAAGAGGATTCCAAAGGTATATCACGTTTAGAGCAAGCATTAGGTCTGTAGCTCATCAGGCTGACTTTTAAAATATGCAAGTGCTAGAAAGACCACCCCAGGTTAAAAGTCTCTAAATACTTCAATGTTGCTTACTGTTAAATAATGTTTAGAGTGTGTTATCTCTTGTAGGCTTTGGAAATCTAATTATTTATAATGTCTAGTGACATTTACATTTTGTTAAATATGCCTTGCTCGTAATATCTTGCTTAGGAAAATGTCTGGCTCTACATTTGCTTACATATAAAATGCAAAATATCAGGGCAGCCTGTGTTATCTTTTTGTTGTCATTACACGACTTTAGAAACGTAATTCTTTAGAAGAGTACTTAATTATTATTCTTTAAAATGAGAGTTATCATAGTTGAAATCATTTGTTTAGCTTTAACTTGCACCTATCAAGTTAGATATCTATTGAAGTGGATTGGCACTCTAAAATAATACCATTCATTTCCATGCCAACAGCTACAGTGTTTGCTTTAGTTTTTGAGATTGATTGAAAGGAGACTGTAAAGTTGATCTATTGTGTTAGCTTATTTACACAAACACAGGGACTTGGAAAATAAACTTTGTAAGTGCATAGCAGTCGGATTCTAAAATATTTCACATCCTGAGTTTTTCAATACCTGTTTTACTGGAATCTGTTGTGTCGAGAATCTCAACTTTGCCACAGTTATCTTAGCTAGGAGAAAATGACTTCATGCTTTAAGTCTTCTTAAAATTTAGGTAAGATGTATGCTTTGCTTTTACTAAAAAATGAAAAAAAAACTTGCTTTAATCAAAGAATTTGCCTTAGCAAAATAATTTTTTAGTTCCAAAGAGTCTACCAAACCCCCACAGAGGATATTAGTTAAAAGGACATTTCTAAATCGCATCCAGCACGAAAAGGTGACACGTCCCAAACAAAACCCCTCAGAGGCATGCAAACGTGATCACAAATGGATGTCGTAAAGGGATGAGGATGAACAAGTCATTGAAAATAAACTGGTACTTGGTTAAGGGCTTAATCTGAAGTATTAAAAAAAAAAAAAAAAGACCTTCCCAGCGTGAGAGACATCCTCTGGGGCTGCAGATTCTGAAGTGATCAGCCTCTGAGCGCCCCTGCTCCGGCTGACCGCCCCCTCTTTCTCAGGGCTGCGGGGCTGGGCGCTGAGTGACGCGGGGGCCGGGTCCAGGGGGAGGGCGGTGCGCGCGGGCACGTGGACCACAAACACTTCCTAGAAACAGCGAGTCGGCGCTCAACCCTGCCTGAACTTTCCCTGTAAACACGGCGCGCTGACAGAGCGGCATCCCCGCTGGGTGGATCCCGCCACTCGGAGCGGGAATGGCACTTCTTGTTTTTAATTAGCGAGGTGAAAGGTGAGTGAAAAGGAGCAGCTCGGCAAGTCGGCGCAGGAGGCTTGACTTTTCGGAGGCTTCAGGGAGCCCGAAGAGCAGAGCAGAGCGCCAACGGGGTGGAAGGCAGTTGCATGGTGCTCCGGCTGGGGTTTGGGATTGTGATTTTTTTTTTCCCTCCCCCTTTGAATGAACCTCTTCCAAGAGTGACTTTAAAAAGAGAGACAGAGAGAAAGAAAAAGAAAAAAAAATCAGTTTTTTCCCGAACCTAGAGGTGGACTTGGAGAAACAAGCCTCAGGCGGGGCATGACTGTGAAGACGCACGCCTTGGAATGTCCCCTGGCTCCCGGATTCTAGACAACTGTCCGCAGGCAAAAGAGGTCTTCCGTAGCCCGCGACAGCCTGACACATGGCACTTTGGGACTGTGCTCTCTGATGACAGCGCGTTCGGTTTCTGACAAAGCCTCTCTCGAGCACGCTGTCTCCGGAGGGGAGTCCTGAGGCCAAGTCAAAGCCGCCTGAAAGTGAGGCTCTGCCGCGGGCTGGCACCGGGGGCTCCGCTCGGCAGCATGGCATCGGCTGGGCACCTCGTGCCCTTGCTCCTGTGCGTCGCGCTCCTGCAGCTCTGGACCGCGGGACACACGGCGGATACCACTCACCCTCGCTTAAGACTGTCACACAAAGGTAGGTCGCCCAGGAGATCCTTTTGCGTGTACGTTAACAGGATAAAAAGAAAAGATGAAAGTCACGGAACATGGATCTGTGATCTTCACAGACCCTTCAAACACATCTGGAGAAAAATGTCTTGCAGAACGGACCTGAGATTCTGAGTACCTGTGATGAACAGGTTATATTTACCACACCTGAAAATAGTGCACGACTGTATGCCAACTTGGAGCTGTTGTTTTTGTACACAGCAGCTGTGCGCTTGCAAATGCTAGGTTTTTATCAATGAGAAGTTCACTCAGGGCACACACAGAAGAGGGTGGGAAGCAGGTTGTAAAAAGCCCTGAGGGAATGAATTCATCAAGTTAGCAAGGGCTATTGACACATCAATCTATGCGTTGTGATGGGAGATGAGCAGGTTGAGGAAGGGCTTTAGAAATTGAGGTGCAATTGGTCTTGTGCTTTGTTGTGTTCATTGATGGGAGTGAGAGGAGAAAATTTCTAAGGAAGAAAATGAAAAAATAAATCACGTGATTGAAATGACTAATGACATATAAATTCACTTCTAATTGAGTTAATTAAAATTCTTTAGTGCAATGCAGAACACATTCATTTTTATCAGCAGTTCTAATAAATTGTATTGATTGAAGGAATTAGATACCATTCACTAATATCTATTTACAGGGACAACCCTGTAAATTCATGTGCTTTACTGAAGACCTATCTCTTGGAGAGTGGTTAAATATTTTATTCTGCAAGTATGTCTTTTAAAGCACCATTTAGTCATAAATAAATGATTAAAATATAGCTTTTGCAGCAGGATCAGTAGAGTCGGTCATAAATAAGCTAGTTATTCCTGTAAACAACAAACAAAACATTTGGGAAAAAAGGTGATTTTGCTGACTTCAAAGAAATTTGGAATAAACCTTCAGGAAAGATAAAAACCTCATGAGACATATGAGAAAACATGAAAATTGCATAAGAATTATTGCAATAGTGCAAGTTTTTAAATTGGGCCCCACTATGTAAAGAAAAAGCTTGTATATTTAAAGTATAGGTGTATTATTTCACAAGGGGAAACAAAAGGGAAGCCTCACTTTTATATGGCACAGTTAGTCTTATTGTCTTTTTTATTGGATAGTCATCATTTGATTTTGACTGTAGAAACGTCTCATTTTCTACAGAACAGGCAAAATCTATGAATGTTTTCTTAGTTTAAATAAATTGACTCTAGCATTAGCCAGTAATGTAACGTGAATGTAAGAAACAATTTGACAATGTAAAGCATCTAATATACACTACCTAGCGTTTGCATAAGACATTTAAGAAGATATCTCTCTGTTGTATCTAAGTGTGCATTGCATAGTGTTATAACAAAATATATCAAAATGTAAAAAATGTGATATAATAGAGCATGAAAAAATAATGAAATCATAAAAGTACTATAGTAAATGAATTGTTTCTATGATCTAGCTAGAGGGTTAACTGCCAGATTTGGCAAACTGACATTCTGCTGTGCCTGGTATTAACCTTTTAATCCCTCATTATTAGGTTACTTTCTTTTCAGTTTTGGTATATGTTCAAAGATGTTTCATTGTACTATTTCACCGGGGAGCATCTAATTTGGTTAGATTTTATCAAACCTCGAATGCAACTAACTGTGTTATCAGGTTCATCTTAACTGTCTCCTAATCAGAGGAACTGCAACTGATTTATGGTTATGATAAATTATGGAGTAGAATACTGGTATCTATGGGTACACCAGAATGAAAAATATCTTATTTTCTAGATTTTCTTAACTTTCAGTTTCAATGGGACTATCTAAAAACTTGTAACATATACTTTCATACAAAGACAATGAAGAATTATCTTAAACCTGAAGAGTTCTCATGTGAACGTGGGCGGGGGAGAGAGTACAGTGAGTTGATTGCTTGCCTTCTATGTGGTGACACCAGTTTGATTCTCAGCACTGCATATGGTATTCCAAGCACCATGAGGAGTGACTCCTGAGCAGAGATTAAGCCCCTTAGCAACATCAGCTCGATTCTCAGCACTGCATATGGCAACCCAGACACCATTAGGAGTGACCTCTAAGCAGCGATTAAGCCCCTGAGCCACACCAGTTTGATTTTCAGCACTGCATATGGTAACCCAAGCACCATTAGGAGTGACTCCTGAGCAGAGACTAAGCCTGGTATGATCCAAAAGCAAAGTTTTAAAAAAGTGTGCAATTTCGTTAGTAAAGTCAGACAAGACATGAACATCTGAGAGGTGTCCTGAAATGGAAAATGCCTAATACTCCACAGTTATATCATTAAAGTAATATTCTGTGCTATCAATAAAGCTTAGACTGCCATTGACCTCTCTATACTCTGTAGTTCAGTGGTACTTCAGCTTTTACAGGTACTAAAAATCTAGGGGTAGGACATATTTCAGAGTTTGTTATCTTTGAAATTTTAAGATGAAATGGTCTTAACATATTTTGTTATCTGATATCAGTAATGGTATTAGTAATTTTCAGTAGTGAGTGAATTTGATTACTCATATTACAAATGAGTACATGACTGTTCAAAACAAAAGGTACTAGATTAAAGTAATGCAGCGGATCTGTACTGCAGCTTGATCCCCAGCAGAGGAATTCAGTTGGATCTGTGAAGATGAGTTCATTCAGGAATTTATTTTGTGGGAGGGGTGTGGTACATGGGATAAAAATAAACATTAAAATCAATAGCGATGACAAGACCCCTTTAACTTTCAAGATGGCATTTGACACCACAAGACTTGTCTTCTCTTATTTATTTATTTATTTATTTATTTATTGGGGGGGGTCACACCTGGCAATGCACAGAGGTTACTCCTGGCTCTGCACTCAGGAATTACCCCTGGTGGTGCTCAGGGGACCATATGGGATGCCAGGAATCAAACCCCAATAGCCACTTGCAAATGCAAACGCCCTACCCACTGTGCTATAGCCCCAAGACTTGTCTTCTCTTAAAGAAAGGAAGAACGTTTCAGAGTAATCTACAAAGCTTTAGTTAAATTTTATAAAAACATGTAAAAAATTTTTCAGAAAAAGATGTCTTAAGACTGTGCTTTGTTTTCTCCTTGTTTCTTCATTCAGGCATGTTCTGAAACAATTTGAAGTGAAGAAGCCATTAGGACTATAAGGGAGAAAAGGAAGAGGGGAGTAAAAAAGGTAGAAAGTTGGTATCATCACAGAGCTTCTTCTACATTGTTTCACACTGCCTTCCAGTATTATTCAATAGAATAGTATTCAGTTCTCTTCTCTTCTTTTTGAGTATTAATGCCATTCAAATATTAAGCAGTTACATTAACCTCGAGGTAAAAAAGGTAAAGGCCCTCCCGTTGATCGTCGATTTGCTCGAGCGGGCCCAGTAACGTCTCCATTGGAGACTTTGTTGTTACTGTGTCTGGCATATCAAATACTCTCGGTAGCTTGCCGGGCTCTCCGAGAGGGGCGGAGGAATCGAACTCGGGTCGGCCATGTTGGCTACGTGCAAGGCAAACACCCTACCCACTGTGCTATCGCTCCAGCCATATATGCCCAAAGTCTCCAATGGAGACGTTACTGGGCCCGCTCGAGCAAATCGATGATCAATGGGAGGGCCTTTACTTTACATTAACCTAGGATGAGCCTAATGGATCAAAAGATAATTATGCTTTTTAAGGCAATGCATATATTTTAAGTGTTTTTTATAGATACACAGTATATTTTATTAAAACATAACAAAGATCAAAGTGTCATGATATTTGTCCACTCTGAAATGTATTGATATTGGATTTTGGGCCTACCCAGCTTGCTTGGGGGCTATTCCCAAGTTACTGCCTAAGAACTGTGTGGTGGTGGAATCAATCCTAGGGTTCCCACATCCAAAATATGTACTCCAGCCTTTTGACCTATCTTCCAAGACCCAATATTTTTTTATTCAAGATTGAATATGAGGGGTGGAGAGATAGTACAGGAAGCAAGGCACTTGTCTTGCTTGTGTCTGAACCTGGTTCTATCCCTAGCATTACATATGTTCCCCCAGCAGCTTTAAGCACATAGCTAGAAGGGGTCTCTGAGCAATACTGGACGTGTCCCAAGCCCTATTTTTTTCTCCAAATAAAAAAATATACTTAGGTTGTGAGTGACTCCATAGGAAAAATATATAGCACTGTATGAATTATGGCCAATATTGTAGCTACTGTCCTGAAGAGAGTAATATTGGTCTGATTAGTAAAAAACATGATATTTTACACCAACGTTTTTCTTGAAAATAGTTGTGATATGCATAACAAATATGAAGTAAAGAGAGAATGGAGGGCATGGAGTTCTGGTGGATCAGTGACATACTTCTATTAATGTCTATTCTTTGCTTATCTTTTACCATCCTACATTAAAGAGGTTACAGGGAAGGCAAATATGACTTTCTTGATAATGGAACTACAAGAAGAAAACCACAAGTGGACAAGGCCTCTCGTCAGAAGAAATCCCACTGCATGTGGAAGCCCCACAAATTTAATAAATGGATCTTGGCAGTTGAATAGGTATTCAAAGTTTTAATAAGTAAAGGCATGAGTGCAGAAACCAATAAATATGGCTGCTTAAGTAGAAATGTTCTCCCAGGACAGTTTGTGAGGAGACAGCTAAATAAAGCCATAGATATGACAGAAGATCAGTCCTAAAATATGTTGACAGTATATATGTAGATTTGAGTTGAATATATACCCATACATAGAGAAAATAGGATAGTGTTAATTACTCAAACTGTTTTTGAATACTATAACCAGTTACAGATTCAGAGAGCTCGGAATTTGAAGGCAAAGGTCTCTGTTCTAATTTGCTGTCTTCTATATAATAATGGGAGTTGTCCCTGACTCACTTTTCTTTATTTGAAAATATAGTATTAACTCTTTTCCTGTATATTTTACTGTGTTGTGAGAGAATTATATAAAACATCAATGAAAGCATTTTATAATCTAAAAAAGGTTATTAATGTTTCTTAAAGATTGAT